TGCTATCAAATATGAGGATTCTGAAGCTACATTACAAGAGCAAAAGAATCGTATTGTTCATTTGGAAGAAACTCTTGAAACATTTAAAAATCAAAAAGATAATTCTGATTCCTCGGTTTCTGGTCTTGCACAACTGGCTGCAGAAAATGAAACTTTAAGGCATACAAATGACAATTTGAACATCAAGATTTCTGAAGCGGAAGATCGTATATTATCATTGAATGAGAGAATAACAACTTTACAGCGTGAACTTGAGAACGCAAAGTCTCCAAATAATAATGATCAGAATATAGAATCCGTTAAGACGTTAAAAGAAAAGATCGATGAACTTGAAATGGAAAAACAAGTATTAGAAGAAGCAAATGCAACATTTGTGGAAGATCATAAAAAACTTGATCAAAAGATAGAATCTTTAACACAACAACTTACGTCAGCGGGTAAGAGTGGAAACAAGACTGCAGCTCAGCTCGCAGATCTTAATGGAAAGATTTCCACTTTAGAAAATGAAATAGAGCAAGCGAGACAAAAATCACGAGAAGATATTGCAATAAAGGAAAAGGAAATGATGAGACTATTAGAAATAAATGAACAATTAATGCAAGGAAAAAGTGATGCAGCATTGAGATCTCCAAAATCTCCAAAGTCTCCAAATGATACAGATTCGTTAGATTCAGGATATGTATCCGGAAGTACACGCACATTAAACAATACAGACAATGTCCTTCAAAATAAATTTTTACAACAAGAGGATACAATTACTCAACAAAATAATCTTATCAAGACTCTTCAAGACAAAATCAACGAACTCGAACGACGATCATCTAGTCTTGGAAGACCTGTTTCAGCAGAACTTGATGCTGTGGGAGGAGATTCTAAAAAGAATTCGATACGAAATTCAGATCTCAAAACTCCACCAGCTCCGCCACCAACTCAACCACTGCCCTTACCGCCAACTAGTCCTTCATCACCTCCTCGGGTTTCACAAGATCTAACTTTGGAAGTTCAAAAACTTAATAAGAAAATCGCGACAATTGAAGGAGAAAATCTTCAAAATTGTCAACTCATCGAAACTCTTGAAGAATCCCTTAATGATACAGAGAAAAATCTCCAAGTTGCTAGGCAAGAGTTACAGGTATTACAGCATGAAAAATTGGATCTTGTAAGTCAAGTAAAGAATTTGAAAAATCAATTAGAAGATGCAACTATACAATTTGAAAAAACAAGATCAACTGTTCAACAAGAAAAGGAAGCTATCGAAGCAATATTGGAAAAAGAAAAACGTGCAAAGCAAATGGCAGAAAGAGCGAAATTGCAACTGGAATCTCAGATGGAACAACTTATGGCAAAGAAAAGCAAGTTTATGTGTTTTTAAAGAATTTGATTAAATTATGCATAAATAATTAGTCTTTATTTTATTTATTTTTGGTTTAGTTATTCACCTAGTATATTAGTTTTACCTAAAAATTATCAATCTATAAATTTAATGTTTTCATTACATATATATACATCTACACGTCACCACTTTATACATACATCATATATATAATATATCATTCATTTCTTGTATTATTAGTTTTTTTTTTTCGATCTATTTTGATTTTTTTTTTTTTTTAAAAAAAAAAAGACCTCTGTGAGGTTTTTTTTATATATATAGATGAAAAAAAGTTGCGGTTACTATTAAATACTCGCAAAATATGAAATTAAATTTAATTGAGTGAACTTTTCACTTATACCTTCTTTTTTGTCTTCATTAATGAAGATAAAGAGTTAAATCTTAAAGTATTTCTGTAATATATTACCATAAATTTATTGTATTAAACCGCAACCTATCTAAATAAAAGATCCAATTTTACAATTTAATCGCGTATTTAGTCATAAATTAGTCCTGAAAATGTTACTTTACTTTATAATATCAATATAATCGGAGTTATCATCGCCAGAAAACATTATTTATATAATTGCATTATATGTCGTTCTGGGATGCGCACGGGCGTTACGATTTTAGAAATAACACACATAGTAATAGGCGTATAAACTTGAAATAATGCGCAGGGGTGTAATTCCAAATTTCTGACTAAATTAAGCTTCGGACCGAAATTTGAAATAACGCCCCTGCGCGTTATTCGAGTTTATACGGTACGCTATTTGTATTTTACATTAACTGTTAACTTTTGCGCTAATTATGATTTGCTTTAAACAGGCATGAATTCAGCGTTTAAAGATTCAGAAATGCTATCACAATTATTGCTGAAAGTGGATGAAACTGGGTGGGAAAAGTGTATTCAGTTGTATGAAAATGAAATGAGGCAGAGAACTTCGAAACAAGTTATGCTATCTAGAAAGATAACTCATCGACTGCATGGTATTACGAAAGCTTCATTATAGGTATTTAAAAAGTTTTTGGATTGGAAAATCCCTATCTGGACATTATTAAATTATCCTTGATTTTTTTATATACAGTTTTTCGGATAGTCATATCTGTAACTGCAATTTCTACCTAATCCTAAACTAACTACTATGTAATCAGGTATATAACTCAAAATCTTCAAAATAATTTCGTATGAATTTAAGAGAATGTAAATGATACGGGCTTGTTGCTAAGGGAAGTGCCGTTTATTACGTAATTTCTTTTTATTATAAGGTCATACCCCCTCCCCCTCTGTGATCAAATTAGCAACCAATCATAATTTTTATATATAATATATGGATGTGATGGGACTTCCCACCCTCTTGAAATTACGTAATAAACGGCACTTCCCTAAATAGAAACTATTTGAAGTCCGACAAATCAGATATTTTCGGAGTTGTTTTGTCTGAATGACAAATTAAAATCTGTAATTTGTGGACAGACGCAAAATCTACTTTGTCTCTACTTGTAATGTTTTTTCGGGCAAGTTATTACAGTGCATTACATGTATAATTTGCTCTAATTTATTCTTGTAGAGGCGATAGCATAACTTGGTATTATAATTTTTATGATGTTAGAACCAAATCATTATGTAAGCCAAAAGTATCGAGTAGTACCAAAATTGATTCATAAAGGTTTGTTATTTCTATTTAAAATAATATTTTTATTTTTGTAATTTTTTATCCAAGTTTACTAAAATGCACCTATGGTGCTAAACAATATAAGTACTATTTCTCAAAAACGTACTAAGTACCGTAAATGGCCAGATACAAAACCCGGATCTGTTACATTTTACAAATTTTAAACCTTATAATTAGATCTGCGGGTCTTTTGTATAGGTGTAGGTCTGATAATTGGAGTGTTTATTCTATTTTTATAATATTTTTCTTGGCTTTTTTCCTATTTGTATACTCCCAGGTTTTTTATATTTTACCAAAACTTTATTTTATATTGTAGACTAGGTATAGTGCATAGTGGATCTACTAGCTATTATAGTAAATAGAATTGAGTTTAAATAAAAATATTTAAAACTTCCAAAAACCTTACAAAAACAGTACTTGTTGTTTAGAAGTAGTTCTCATATGCTACTTGCTAACAAGCTCAAAATTTATTACTTGCCAAAAAAAAAGAAAGCTTCAATATACTAACCAATATTACAAGTCTTATTTTATTTTGAACAAAAATTAATACACTCTTTAAAGAATTTTAAGTTATAATCCTAAAGATTAAAATGCTAAAAATATTAAATTCTAATACATTAAATTCTTAAAGAACAAAATCCTGAAAGAATAATATTTTGAAAATTTAAATCCTAAAAAATTATAATTCTAAAAAATTGCAATTTTGAAGAATTACAATTCAAAAAGATCACAATTCTGAAAGAGTTACAATTCTAAAAGAGTTATAATTCCAAAAGGTTGCAATTCTAAAAGATTACAATTTTGAAAGTTATAATTCTAAAATTAAAATTCTAAAAAGTCAGAATTTAAAAGGTCTAAACCTGATTTTGAATCTAGTTTGGTTTAGTTTGATAACTACTCTAGTATAATCATTATGATTAGTTATATAATCGATGTTTAAAGTTTGATATAAGATTTTACTTAACTAGATCTCATAATCTGATATACAAAATTACTATTATAAAATAATATAAAATTTTTTATTGCATCAAAAAAAAAATGCTTATTTGGTAAACAATTATTATTTAACTTTACATACTATATTATAGATTTTTATTATATTAAGAAAAATAGTTATTCAAAATTTATTTGGTAAATTATTATTATCTAACTTATATACTATATAATAAATGTTTATAAATTTAAGTTTACTAATAAAAAAAAAATAATTTTATTTTATGTGTTTTAGGTTCTTAGAGATTTTTTGTCTGGTTTAGATTCTTTATATCATCTATTATCTTTTAAATTAATATAAATTGAGAATTAGAATACAGTTTTAGAATAAAGAAGTTTTATATAATTGTCTAGAGCATAGCAAAAGACATTTAATAGATGAGTAAAGTACATCAAAAATTGCGTTTTTGATGC